GAGTGAAAGTGGTAATTAATTACGTTAATTACGAATTACGTATTTACGGTAATTAGCTAATTACCATATCATGTATAGTTGCAGGCCAATAGGGGCAACTTGAAGAGTCATGGGACTTTGTCCCTATCAAAATGCGAATAAGCTCCATCATTAGATAGAGTAGATCTTATTTCTGCAATCAATAATTATATCAGCTTCGGTTAATACGGATTTAAAAGTGCGCCTAAATTAATTACCCGAACATTAGCTTTTTTTCCGATTAAAGACATATACATTCTTGAGAATGGCGCAACTATTGCGGAGCAAGCCGTTAGGCGATTCAAAGAATCATGACCCAAAGGGTCTAAATATTTTTGATTTACCGGAATTACTAGAACAGATCTTATATTTTTTAAAAATCGATCGATCCCTCTATCCTGCTTTATTCGTCAACCACCTTTGGTATCACTGCGGTGCTCCTATTCTATGGCGACGCATTGAGTTTTTTTCAGAAGAAGATTATCAGAGAGGTCTGTACGGTCAAAAGATGCCTCGAGCTCTTACTCGGCAAATGATAAACTTTAAAAAAGCCATGTGTGGAAAGATAAAGCCAACCTATTGCACCAAGATGGTATATCTCAGATTAGAAGGCTTAAAAATCTCAGATGCATTGTTTAGTACGATTCTACGCTCATGTCTGGATATACGCACTCTTATTCTTGACCAAGTAATGGTTTCACTAACATACCAATTATAGAAATTGCAAGATATTGCCCAAAGCTATTACATCTGAGTCTTAATTCATGTATATGTCTTACTAATCGTTGTATCACTGAAATAATGCGTTCATGCCAGAAACTTAGATCTCTTGAGCTTGGTAATTGTTCGATTGGTAATGAAACTATCGAGGAAATAGCCCGCAACTGTACTAATTTGAAATATCTTAGTTTGGAAGATGTAATGGGATTAGCGAAGGAGTGATGAAAAAACTTGATTCAAAAATTAAAATCGAACATCCAGATTATTCTGATGATGAATTTTCAGATTCAGATCTACCTCCACTTGTTCCAGTCTTTGCAGGTCCAATAGATAGAACAGATTTAATTTCTGCAATCAATGATTTAATCAGAGAATTGGTTCTATGGTCGAAAATATAATGATGGTGAACTCCAAACATACATACCCGAAATTGTGACCGACACAGAGGACGCCTGGGTGAGAACTACCCTACGTATCAAGGATCTTAAAACCAAGAAAGGGGGGAGGGTTATAGTATCTGTTAATAAAATAATTAATGATGTACATAACTTTACTTCTGACTCCGATACTTCTTCCGATAACGATTCAGGTAATTCTTCCACATCTAGTTAGGAAATAGAAGTTACACATATGCAAAAGAAACGCCCCATTCTAAAGCGTAAAGTAAAGAGTAAAGTTAATTATCGAGCTTTGTAGTGGAGCTAGTATCCTGACATATGTAGAAAACTTCTATGCCTGGCTGAAAATTTGTACGAATTGAGTATGGATTTCTTCCCATTCTTTCATCAGATCGTCTAGCCATGAAGTACTTAAACCACTCTTTAGTATACTGTGACGTAATAACTCTTCACCAACCAGCCTATCCCGATCTGTTAAAAATTTACGATATTTTCTGGTATCTTCCTGCCTTTCTATTCCACCACGGTAAAAGCGTATATCTCTCTCCAAGTCTTCACGGAAGCATCCCATAGTCCACCTGTTTTTCTCAGCCTCAGTAATGACAGAAAATTTCTCGGGATCAAGGTCATTTTCAACAGCATATTGATAAAGGCGGGTTTTGTTTGGATGAATTGGTGAGTT